GGGATTAGAGATTAAGGCGTTAAAGATTAGGGATTAGGGGTTAGGATTTTGTGTTTATTGTTCTTTTGCTTCTTTTGTTCCCCCTCCTCATCATTTTTATCATATTTTTTTCTTTTATTGTTTTTGTTATGTTTTGGATTTTTATTTTTATGTGCATAACTAATCTAATGTGTATTTTGATTTCTGTTGTTAGTGGAATGGACGAGATAAGCTTGAAAGCAGAGTTTAGGAACGAAAAGATAAGTATATCTATTTGTACAAACTTGAATGGGTTTCTTTTACGTGTGAAATGTGTTTTACACATGACTATTTCTATATCTTCTTGTGTTTCTTACTTGCTATGATCATTGTTCTAATATTTTCTATTCCCAACACTCTCATTATACCACTGTTTGCTTTTCTTTTTTCGTTATTGTTTTCATGTTTTACACAACCTCTAATTGCATAGCATTTCTTTGGTTATATGTGATTTGTTTACTTTTCTATTAGATTTATTATTATTTCTTTTTTTTTGGGTATTTGGTTTATAGTTAGGGCCTAGGGAGTAGGAATTTGAGATTAGGGATTAGGGATTAGGCCTTTAGAGGTTAGGGATTAGGCCTTACGGATTATGGATTAGGGGTTAGGGGTTAGGGATTTGGGTTTATTGTTCTTTTGCTTCTTTTGCTCCACCTCCTCATCATTCTTATCATATTTGTTACTTTTGTTATGTTTTGAATTTTTATTTTTATGTGTGTAACTAATGTAATTTGCATTTTGATTTCAGTTGTTAATGGAATGGACGAGATAAGTTTGAAAGCGGATTTTAGGAGCAAAAAGATAAGTATATATATTTGTGCAAATTTGATTAACATTCTTTTACATGTGAAATGTGTTTTACACTTGACTATTTTTAAATCTTTTTGTGTTTCTTACTTGTTATGATCATTGTTTCTATTATTTTCATTTCGCAACACTCTCATTATTCCGCTATTTGTTTTTTATTTTTCGTTATTGTTTTCATGTTTTACACAACCTGTAATTGCGTAGCATTTCTTTGGTTATATGCGATTTGTTTGCTTTTCTATTAAATTAATTATGTTTTATTTCTTTTTTTTGGGTTGTCGGTTTATAGTTAGGCGTTGGGGATTAGGACTTAGGGAATAGGAATTTGGGATTAGGGATTAAGGCTTTTGAGATTAGAGATTAGAGATTAGGGATTAGGGATTAGGGATTAGGGATTAGGGATTAGGGGTTTGGTATTTGGATTTATTGTTTTTTTGTTCTACCTCCTCATCATTCTTATCCTATTTTTTTTCTTTTATTATTTTTGTTATGTTTTGGATTTTCATTTTTATGTGCGTAACTAATCTAATGTGTACTTTGATTTCAGTTGTTAGTGGAATGGAAGAGATAAGCTTCAAAGAGGAGTTCAGGAGCGAAAAGATAAGTATATCTATTTGTGCAAATTTGATTAACTTTCTTTTACATGTTAAATGTGTTTTGCACATGACTATTTCTACATCTTCTTGTGTTTCTTACTTGTTATGATCATTGTTTTTATTTTTTTCAATACCCAACACTCTCATTTTTTCACTGTTTACTGTTTATTTTTCGTTACTGTTTTCATGTTTTACACAACCTATAATTGCATAGCATTTCTTTAGTTATCTGTGTTTTGTTTGTTTTTTCTATTATATTAATTTTGTTTTATTTCCTTTTTTTGGGTTGTCGGTTTATAGTTTGGGGTTGAGGATTATGACTTAGGGAGTAGGGATTTGGGATTAGGGATTAGGGAGTAGGGATTAGGAACTAGGGATTAGGGATTAGGGATTGGGGATTAGGGCTTTAGAGATTTGGGATTTGGGATTAAGGGTTAGGGATTTTGGTTTATTGTTCTTTTTGCTTCTTATGCTCCACCTCCTCATCTTTTTTTTCCAATTTTTTTCTTTTATTGTTTTTGTTACGTTTTGGATTTTCGTTTTTATGTGGGTAACTAATCTAATATGTACTTTGATTTCAGTTGTTAGTGGAATGGACGAGATAAGCTTGAAAGTCGAGTTTAGGAGCGAAAAGATAAGTATATCTTTTTGTGCAAATTTGAATGACTTTCTTTCACCTGGGAAATGTGTTTTACACATGACTATTTCTATAATTTCTTGTGTTTCTTTCTTGTTTTGATCAGTGTTCTTTTATTTTCTATTCTCAACACTCTCATTATCCCACTGTTTGCTTTTCATTTTTTGTTATTATTTCCATGTTTTACATAACCTACAATTGCATAGCTTATCTTGGTTATATGCGCTTTGTTTGCTTTTCTATTAGATTAATTATGTTTTATTTCTTTTTTTTGGGTTGTCGGTTTACAGTTAGGGGTTGGGGATTAGGACTTAGGGGGTAGGGATTTGAGATTAGGGATTAGGGCTTAAGGAGTTGGAATTTAGAATTAGGAATTAGGGATTAGGGATTTGGGTTTGGGAGATTAGAGTTTTGGGATTAGGGATTTGGGTTTATTGGTCTTTTGCTTCTTTTGCTCCATCTCCTTATCATTCTTATCCTATTTTTTTCTTTTATTATTTTCTTAATGTTTTGGATTTTCATTTTTATGTGCGTAACTAATGTAATGTGTACTTTGATTTCAGTTGTTAATTGGGGATTAGGTATTAGGGATTAGGGATTAGGGATTGGGGATTAGGGCCTATGGAGTAGGGAGTAGGAATTAGAAATTAGGGAGTAGAGAGTAGGGATTAGGGATAACGGATTTGGGGTTAGGGATTTGGGTTTATTGTTCTTTTGCTCCACCTCCTCGCCATTCTTGTCCTTTTTTTTTCCTTCATTGTGATTTTTTATCTTTTAGATTTTCATTTTTATGTGCGCAACTAATATAATTTGTGTTTTGATTTCAATTGTTAGTTGAATGGACAAGATAAGCTTGCAACGGGGAGTTTAGGAGTGAAAAGATAAGCATATCTATTTGTCCAAATTCGATTGAGTATCTTTTACATGTGAAATGTGTTTTACACATGACTATTTCTACTTATTTTTGTGTTTCTTACTTGTCATGATCATTCTTTTTATTATTTTCAATCCCAAACACTCTCCTTATCCCACTGTTTCTTTTTCATTTTTCGATGTTTTCGTGTTGTACACAACCTATAGTTGCATAGCATTTCTTTAATTATATGTGTTTTTTTGTTTTTCTGTTAGTTTAATTATGTTTTGTTTTCTTTTTTTGGGTTTTCAGTTTATAGTTAGGGATTAGGGCTTAGGTAGGAGGGATTAGGGATTAGGGCTTTAGAGATGAGGGATTAGGGCTTTGGGATTAGGGATTAGGGGTTAGGGGTTAGGGGTTAGGGATTTGGGTTTGTTGTTCTTTTGTTTCTTTTGCTCCACCTCCTCATCATTCTTATCCTATTTTCTTCTTTTATTGTTGTTTGTTAGGTTTTGAATTTTTATTTTTATGTGCGTAACTAATCTAATGTGTGCTTTGATTTCAGTTGTTAGTGGAATGGACGAGAAAAATTTGAAAGCGGAGTTTAGGAGTGAAAAGATAAGTATATCTATTTGTCGAAATTCGATTGACTTTCTTTTACATGTGAAATATGTTTTACACATGATTATTTCTACTTCTTTTTGTGTTTCTTACTTGTTATGATTATTGTTTTTAGTATTTTTAATCTCCAACACTCTCATTATCCCACTGTTTGTTTTGTATTTTTCGTTATTGTTTTCGTGTTTTACACAACCTATAATTGTATATCATTTTTTTTGATTATATGTGCTTTGTTTGCTTTTCTATTAGATTAATTATATTTTATGTTTTTTATTATTATTTTTCTATTGAAATTGTTAAATGTCAAAAAAAAAATTTAATTACTTGGAGAGGGAGCAAATCGTTAAACAATGGTGAAAAATTAGGAGTTTATAGCATGTTAGAGATATTAATAAAATATAGAATTCAAATAGGGTTTAGGGCTTATGGCTTTGGATGCTTGGGGCTTACGGGCTATCGGACTTGTGGGTTTTGGGGGTTTTGGGTTAATAGTTGGGGGTTTGGGATTAGGGCATACGGAGTTGGTATTAGGGATTGGGGATTAGGGCTTATGGAGTAGGAATTAGGAATTAAGAATTAGGGAGTAGGGAGTAGGGATTAGGAATTAAGGATTTGAGATTAAGGGTTAGGAATTTGGGTTTATTGTTCTTTTGCTCCACCTTCTCATCATTCTTGTCCAATTTTTTTCCTTTATTGTTGTTTGTTATCTTTTGGATTTTCATTTTTTATGTGCGTAACTAATGTAATGTGTATTTTGATTTTAGTTGTTAGTAGAATGGACGAGATAAGCTTGCAAAACAAAGTTTAGTTGTGAGAACATAAATATATCTATTTGTCCAAATTATATTGATTTTCTTTTACATGTAAAATGTGTTTTACCCATGACTATTTCTACTTCTTATTGTGTTTCTAACTTGTTATGATCATTATTTCTATTATTTTCAATCTCAACCATTTTCATTATCCCACTGTTTCCTTTTTATTTTTCGTTGTTATTTTCGTGTTTTACACAACCTATAATTGCATAGTATTTCTTATATTATATGTGTTTTGTTTGTTTTTTTATTAGAGTAATTATGTTTTATTTTCTTTTTTTGGATTGTCCGTTTATAGGTAGGGGTTGGGGAATTGGCTTAGAGAGTAGAGATTTGGGATTAGGGATTACGGATAACAGATTAGGGGTTAGGGGTTAGGGATTTGGAGGGTTTAGGGGGGCAGGAAATGTTTCTAATGAGAGAAACTCTCACTTCTCTCTCCCTTTACTCTTTGCCTGTTGAGTTCTTGCTTTAACTTCATGTAGATCTGTTCATTTATTATGGATTCGGCCTAGGGTTTGAACAAAATTCCACCAAAGCCTCCTGATGTTTCTCGGATTCCCACCATAGCCCCAAAGAATTCGCTGAATTTCCCATCCAAACCACCAGACATAACCCGAAATTTCGCGTCTTTATTGAAAAAACCGTCGAACATGGAAACTTCTCTACATTTTCCATCTGCATCAGCGTCAAATTCGCTTTCTTTTGTGGATCCTTTAGGTGGTAATACTATCATTCCTATGCTTCCTAACCCTCATCTTCATCATAACCAGTCAACTGTTCAACTCCCGTCACCATCAACTCTTCCCTCGACCGTGGGCTCTTCTGCGAACATTCAAATCCCTGTTGAGGATATGGAGAATTGGAATCAGAATCATGAGGTGCAGAGGGTTGATGCTTTGTCTTCTACTTCTATTCCTGTTCTGGATGCCTCTGGCGGGGACATGTTGCTGAATGAGTTAGAAGTTGATAGAGAAAAGAAGAATGATAATTATGTTGATGTAGAGGCCGAGAATAGCGTTGGTTCTGGAAATGGGGGTGTTTTTAAAGACCATTTGCCAGAATGTGTGGTTTTATTGTGCTCCTTCAATGGGATCATCCTTTTTGGTTGACCGTGACTTTATGAATAGGGAGGGGTATGTTGGATCGGTTGATGATCAATATGGTCTTATAAGCAAGAAGATACCCCCAGATAAGGGGTATGTATCTGATCAAGATAGCTCTCAAAGCCCAGTAGGTGATGCGGTGGACACAGATAGGTCATTCAGAGTGTCAGAGGAAGGTTCTAGATGTAATTCTAGTGGGAATTTTGCTTCTGTTCATTTATGATTAATCTGATTTCATGGAACATGAGGGGAGCAGGGAAAGGATGCAAAAGTAGGAGATTAAAGAAAATTATCAAGATGAATGATGAATGTTGTGTGGCAGTTCAGGAACCAAAAATATCAGTGTCAAAGCTGCAAAATTTTGCTGGTAAAATAGGGTTGAATCATTTCTGGTTTAACAAATGTGCAGAAAGGAATATTTGGTTGCTCTGGGATGGTAGAGTTAAAATCAAGGAGTTGTACTCTCATCAGCTGTGGTGCTGACTGTGGAATTTATGTTTTTGGAATGAAAAATTTTGGATGTCTGTAGTATATGCAAGTTGTGACCGTGTTAGGAGAAGGTTATTATGGCAGCATTTGTTGGGTAATGAGATACCAGCAAGTGATCCTTGGATCATTGCAGGTGATTTCAATTCCATTTTGACTTCGGAAGAAAGAAGAGGAGGGGCCTTTCCTTCTATTACAGCTGTGGAGGAGTTTGACCAATTTCTTGATCAAGGAGGGTAGTTGGATTGTGGTTTTTCTGGTAGTAGGTTCACATGGTGTGATAATCGCCAGGAGCAAGTCAGGATGCTAAAGAGGTAGGATAGGGTTTTGGTGAATGCTGCTTGGCCTCTGAGATTTGAGAATACTGAGGTTGTCCATCTTGCTAGGGGTAATTCAGATCATTGCCCCTTGCTTGTTAAGATTTTGGATGAACCTATTCAGAGAAGTATATCTTATTTTCGTTTTCAGGATGCCTAAATTTGGTTGCTACAAATTGGAGGGGGCATTTTTTTGAGAATCCTGTCGCTAACTTGTTCATTAAGCTCAAGTACGTAAAAGCCCATCTCAAATTGTGGAACAAAGAAGTCTTTGGGAATGTATTTAATAATATAAAAGTTCATGAAAGAAGGATTCAGGAGGAGGAGTCTAAATTGGATCAGAATTATTGTTCGGAGGGTGCATTAGTATTAGAGAGGTGGAAGGAAGGATTGGATAATTTGCTTAGAATGGAGGAGATATTCTGGAAACAAAAAGCGAATATTAGATGGGCCGTTGAAGGGGAAAGAAATACAGTTTTTTATCATGCTATGGCAAAGAGTAAAGTTGTAAGAAATAAAGTTAAAAGAATTCAGAATGATGAAAGTGTTTGGGTTCATGGGGAAGATGAGATTGCTGACGTTGCTATAAAATTCTATTCTAAGTTGTATATGTCAGAGAATCATTCTATTCAGGAAGAGATATTTTCTGAAATCCCTTCACTGGTTGGTGATCAAAAGAATGAGAGGTTGGTGGAAGCTGCTTCTATGGAGGGAGTCAGAGAGGCTGTTATCTCCATGGCTGTGGAAAGTGCTCCAGGACCTGATGGGCTTTCGGGTAAGTTTTTTCAATCATCCTGAGAGATTATCAAAGATGATGTACTGCTTGCTGTGATTTTTGTTTTGGGAGGTGGTGTAATTCCAAAATCTGTAACTCTACTTTTCTTGTTCTAATTCTAAAGAAGGACAGCCCTGTTAACTTTGGGGATTTTCGGCCCATTAGCCTCTGCAATTTTGTTTATAAAATTTTTACAAAGCTCCTCACTACGAGACTTTCTTCTTTACTTCCTGTGTTGGTGTCTGAAGAGCAACATGGTTTTGTAAAAGGAAGGTGCATTGGGAATTGTGTGTCATTGGGGTAGCTAATGGCAGAGGAGTTGGATAGAAAGGTGGTGGGAGGCAATATGGTAGTTAAATTAGATATGATGAAGGCGTATGACCGGATCGAATGAGACTTTTTGTTGAGGGTGTTGGAAAAGTTTGGTTTTTCAGGAATGTTAGTTAGAATTATCTCTAACTGTCTGAAAACCCAATTTTTTACATTGTGTTTAAATGGAAAAAGGCATGGTTATTTTGCTAATTCAAGGGGGCTCAGACAATGAGATCCTTTATCCACTTCCTTATTTATTCTTGCTGAAGAGGCTTTGAGTAGAGGGTTGAGAAGACTTTATCAGATGAATTTGGTCACCCATTTTCACACAGGCAGAGGTTCTCTTTTGGTGAATCACCTTTTTGCTGATGATACCTTAATATTCTTGAGAGGTAAGAAGAAATCTATGATAAACTTGATGAAGTTTATAAGTTTGTATGAATCTTGTTCTGGACAGAAAGTAAATAAATCAAAAAGTGCTTTGTATTGTTCAGCAAAAATCCCCATTGTTAGACGGAATGTGCTGTCCAATTTGGTGGGAATCCTTTGAAGACCTGCCCCTTTTCTTATCTTGGCTTCCCCATTATTAGGGGAAGATCTAGGAATTGTTTCTTTGCGGAGGTGATCAACAGTTTTAGAAGGATCATTGAAGGATGGTATGCCAAACTTCTATCTGGGATGGGTAGACTTGTGATGGTGCAGTCTGTGTTGAATGCTATTCCCATTCATATTTTGACTTGTATGAATATACCCAAAGGCGTGATGAGGAAGTTGAATTCATTAATCGCTGGGTTCATATGGTGCTGTAAATTGGACTCTAAAAGGAGACATTGGGTCTCTTTGGATAAGATGTCCAAACCAAAGGAGGAGGGTGGGTTGAGAATTCGAAGCTTTGAGGAGATTCAAGCAGCTTTCAGAGTTAAACAGGTCTGGAATATCCTAAATGGTAATTGACTTTGGGCGAAGATGTTCAGATCTACATTCTTAAGGGGAGGCACTTGTTAAGATGTGGGGAATCGAGGGGTGCAAAATCTTTTAAAAGTTTGAAGCCTTGGTTTAATTTTGTGGTTGAAAATTCCTGGGTCAGTATAGGGAAAGGTAGAAACACTGATTTTTGGTGTGATGCATGGCTTGAGTCTGGGCCCTTATTGCAAAGTGCTGTGGGGATTCCCACTGATTTTCCTGCTGTAGCTGATATGTGGGGGAATAACCAATGGCAGCTGGATGATGTTATTTCTGTCCTTGGGGAGCAATTGAAGTCTGAGATTATATCAGCTGGAGTGGTGATCTGTGAGCAAGGGGATAGAAGGGTTTGGAGGAGTAGCAGTACTGGTCTTTTCTCTGTTAAAGATGCATGGTGGCAGGTCAGGCAGCAGGGTGAGCAGAATGTGGCTGCTAAATGTATCTGGAGTCACAGAATTTTTCCAAGTGCACAGCTATGTTCTTGGAAAATCCTTAGGGGTGCTTTATCCATTACTTCAAGAATCCGTGACTTGGGTATTGATTTGGTAAGCAGGTGCAGTCTCTGTGGCGAAGAAGAGGAAACTGTTTCTCATTTGTTTATTGAGTGCAGTTTTGCAAAATCAATATGGAGAGGGTTTGCAAGTATGATGGGTTTTGGTTTGATTGAGGGGGAGTCTTCTATTATTAGGTTCTTGAGGCTTAGCAGAATTTTTAAATGTTGTTCGCTGAGTCACGCTCTAGTTAGAGGAGTTCCACTTCTTTTATACTGGGCTCTTTGGAAAGAAAGGCGCAGGAGACGGTTTGAGGAAGAGAATTAAATTCCTATGCTGTGTTTTTACAAATTATGAGTGCTTTGGGTTTTCAGGCTTTTATTATTAAGCCTAAGAAGGGTGATGATAGTAATGGTAAAGTGTTACTTGCTGATTTGAAGATTAATGCTGCCCATGTTGTTATCACAAAGGCTTTATGGATTAAGTGGGAACCCCCTCCAGATGGGACCTTGACGCTTGCAGCAAAGGGGCCAACTGGTTTGTCAGGCGGAGGCATGGTGGTCAGGAATTCGAATGGTCTGATTGTTGTCGCTGCTGCCTCCTTTTATGACAGGGGTTCGAATATGCTGGCCGAGTGTAAGGCACTTTTGGAGGGTATTAAGTTGTTTTTGCGTCATGATTTAATGAATTATCAACTTCTTATTGAATCGGATTCACAGGTGCTTGTTGGAATGGTATTGGGGAAGGTCAAGGTTCCTTGGAAATATAAACAGTTTATTGATGATATTTGTGGAATTTTGCATAGATTTAATATCAAGGTTAGTCACATTTTCAGGGAAGCTAACGGTCTTGCAGATTTTCTGGCTTCTTATGCTGTCAACGAAGCCTGCTGTTTTGAATTTTTGGGTACTGATTCGCTGCCTATAGCTGGGAAGATGAGGTTGCATCACGATCAACTTTCTTTGTCTACATTGAGACGAAAAATGATCTTGGTTGATAGCACTTGCAGGCAGCTTGATACTGTTGACGTGCGCTTGAATGGGAGACAGGAGCAGTTCCCTGTTCTGCGCACTGGGTGTGCTCTGATAAATGATGATCATGGTTAATAGCTGTTGGTTGGGCTGGTTCTGGGGTCCTTTTGCTTTGGGCTGGTTCATGTTGCTGGGGGTCTCCTGCGCCCTGCTGGTTTTGGGCTGTTCACGTGCACTGTTCATGTGCACAGCTTGTTTAATGCAGCTGCTGGCCCTCACTCTTCGGTTATCTTCTATCTTCAGCTGGGTTTTGATGGCCTTTTACCTGGTTTTTCAGCTGGTCTCCGTCAGCTGTCTTTTCTTATGGTGTCTGCTGGTTCTTGGTCTGCCGCCTGGCCTTCATTGCAGGCTGCCACAGTAGCTGGGGACTGTTCACGCGACTGTTCACGTGACCTGCCTGGCTCCTGCTACAGCTGTTTTTCTGCGGTGATCATGCTGCCTTCCCAGCTGGTTTCAGCTTCTCATGGATTTGCGTCTGTCAGCTGGTTATGGATCTCTTTCAGCTGCTGCTCTCCTCGTTTTCAGCTGACGCAGTTATGTTTTGGTTCCTTCGGCTGCTTTCATACGGTTGCTCATGGTGTTCAGCTGGACTCTCAGCTGGATTTCCAGCGGCTCTTATGCAGCTATTTAGGTCTTTATTGAGCCTGCCTGCTTGCCCAAGCTGGTTCAGCTGCAGCTGGTCTCCTCACCTTCTCTCTGCTGGGGCTCTATGGATTGTCTCTTCTGGTTTCAGCTGGTTTTAATGGTTCTCCAGCTGGAATTTCAGCTGTTTCTCATCCTTTTTATGGCCTTTGCGCCTTTGCTTGTCCTGATGCTGCTTGGTTCTCATGATGTTCCATTTTGCTGGGTGGTATCTGGGCTGTCTCTGCACTTTGAAGAATGTTATCCTTTTTTAATTTTGCAGGATTAAAGCCAACTTTGGCCTTTCTCTTTTTGTTCAAGCTATACTTTTGCTTCTTGTAATCTTGGGGTTATCAATAATATTTCTGCATTCTTCCAAAAAAAAAAAGGGGTTAGCGATTTGGGTTTATTGTTCTTTTGCTTCTTTTGCTCTACCTCCTCATCATTCTTATCCTATTTTTTTCTTTTATTATTTTTGTTATGTTTTGGATTTTCATTTTTATATGCGTAACTAATCTAATCTGTACTTTGATTTCAATTGTTAGTGCAATGGACAAGATAAGCTTGAAAGAAGAGTTTAGGAACGAAAATATAAGTATATCTATTTGTCCAAATTTGATCGATTTTCTTTTACATGGAAAATGTGTTTTACACAAGATTATTTCTACATCTTCTTGTGTTTCTTACTTGTTATGATCATTATTTCTATTATTTTTAATCCCAACGCTCTCACTATCCCATTGTTTGCTTTTCATTTTTCGTTATTGTTTTCGTGTTTTAGACAACCTATAATTGTATAGCATTTCTTTGATTATATATGCTTTATTTGCTTTTCTATTAGATTAATTATGTTTTATTTCTTTTCTTATTATCTTTCTGTTGAAATTGTTAAATGTCAGAAACAAAATTTAATTACTTGGAGAGGGAGGAAATTGTTAAATCATGGTGGAAAATTTGGAGTTTGTAGCATGTTAGAGATACTAGGGCTTTGGAGGCTTGGGGCTTACGGGCTATCGGACTTTTGGGCTTTGGGGTCTTTGGGTTAATAGTTGGGGGCTAGGGATTAGGGCATAGGGAGTAGATATTAGGGATTGGGGATTGGGGATTAGGGACTAGGAATTAGGGAGTAGGGAGTAGGGAGTAGGGAGTAGGGAGTAGGGAGTAGAGATTAGGAGTTAGAGGTTAGGGATTTGGGTTTATTATTTTTTTCTCCACCTCCTCATCATTCTTGTCCTATTTTTTTCCTTTATTGTTGTTTGTTATCTTTTGCATTTTCATTTTTATGTGTGTAATTAATCTTGTGTGTGTTTTGATTTCTGTTATCAGTGGAATGGACGAGATAAGCTTGCAAAACAGAATTTAGGAGTGAAAAGATAAGTATATCTATTTATCCAAATTCGATTGACTTTTTTTTACATATAAAATGTGTTTTACACATGACTATTTGTACTTCTTTTTGTGTTTCTTACTTGTTTTGATCATTGTTTCTATTGCTTTCAATCCCAAACAATCTCATTATTCTACTGTTTCCTTTTCATTTTTCGTTGTTGTTTTCATGTTTTTCACAACCTATAATTGCATAGCATTTCTTTGCTTATATGTGTTTTGCTTGTTTTTTTATTAGATTATTTATGTTTTATTTCTTTTTTTTGGGTTTTCGATTTATAGTTAGAGGTTAGAGATTATGGCTTAGGGCTTAGGGAGTACGGATTTGGGATTAAAGATTAGGGCTTTGGGAGTAGGGATTATGGATTACGGATAACGGATTAGGGGTTAGGGGTTAGGGATTTGAGTTCATTGTTCTTCTGCTCCACCTCCTCATCATTCTTGTCCTATTTTTTTCCTTTATTGTTGTTTGTTATGTTTTGGATTTTCATTTTTATGTGCGTAACTAATCTAATGTGTGCTTTGATTTCAGTTGTTAGTGGAATAGACGAGATAAGCTTGAAAGCGGAGTTTAGGATCGAAAAGGTAAGTATATCTATTTGTCCGAATTCGATTGACTTTCTTTGACATGTGAAATGTGTTTTACACATGACTATTTCTACTTCTTTTTGTATTTCTTACTAGTTATGATCATTGTTTCTACTATTTTCAATCCCCAACACTCCCATTATCCCACTGTTTTTTTTTCATTTTTCGTTGTTGTTTTCGTGTTTTACAGAACCTATAATTGCATATCATTTCTTTGATTATATGTGTTTTTCTTGCTTTTTTATTAGATTAATTGTTTTATTTTATTTTTATTATCTCTTTATTGAAATTGTTAATTGTCGAAAACAAAATTTAATTAGTTGGAGAGGGAGCAAATCGTTTAATCATGGTGAAAAATTTGGAGTTTGTAGCATGTTAGAGATACTAATAGAATATAGAATTCAAATAGGGTTTAGGGCTTAAGGCTTTGGAGCAGTGTTTTAAAACCCGGCCCGGCCCGTTGACCCGGTCCCCTAACCGGGCCGGTTTTGTAATTGGACCGTTTGAGTAAAGAACCCGGAATAAAACCGGTGAATCGGTCAAAAAATCGGTAACCCGTGAAAACCGGACCGGATTTACAAAACAGGGCGGTTTTGTTCCTTTAGTATAAATATATTTTTTTTTTATATTTTTGTGTCTTTCTCTTTTCACCTTCTGTTTTGCCCTAAATCTTAAATCATTCGTTCAGTGTTTGTTAACTCAAAATTTAAATGAATGCAATTAAGTGATTCAAGTTTGAGGGTGGAGGCTGGGCTGTTAATTGAATGCATTGGTTTGTTAATTGAATGCAATTAAGTGATTTAGGTTTGATAACTTTGTTTGATTTAATATATATTAAACATGTTATTTTTATAACTATTTTAATTTTTTAGTCTATTTATCATCATTAATAATTATTTTTTATTTTTTTATTATATCACCGGTTCGACCAGTGACCCAGTGGTTGAACTAGAAATCCATTGACCCGGTCCCTTCTCCGGGTTGGTGTCCGGGCCGGGTTTTAAAACTATGCTTTGGAGGCTTTGGGATTACGGGCCTTTGGGTTTTGGGTTTATAATTTGGGGTTAGGGGTTAGAGATTAGGTCTTAGGGAGTAGGGATTGGGGCTTAAGGTGTAGGGATTAGGTATTAGGGATTAAGGATTAGGGCTTAGGGAGTAGGGAATAGGGATTAGGGCTTTGGGAGTACGAATTAGGATAATGGATTAGGGGTTAAGGGTTAGGGATTTGGGTTTATTGTTCTTTTTGTTCTTTTGCTCCGCCTTCTCATCATTCTTATTCTATTTTTTTCTTTTATTGTTGTTTGTTATCTTTTGAATTTTTCTTTTTATGTGCGTAACTAATATAATGTGTGCTTTGATTTCAGTTGTTAGTGGAATGGACGAGATAAACTTGAAAATGGAGTTTATGAGTGAAAAGATAAGTATATCTACTTGTGCAAATTTGATTGATTTTATTTTACATGTAAAATGTGTTTTAAACTTGACTATTTCTACTACTTCTTATGTTTGTCACTTGATCTGAATGATCAACCCTCCATTGTTGAGATTTTTAGTAGAAGTTTAATTTAGGGGCTCATATCAAACCCTGTCCTAGTTTGGAAGTTGTGAAGTATAAGTAAGGTGTGATCATGGACCTCTTTTATGATCAATTACCCTTTGGAACTTTATGGACAAGGATCTGTTTTTGTCATTACAATAATTGCTACTCTGCTTTCTCGTTTTACAATCTGGTTGAAAACTCTGTATCTTTGGGAGGGTTTAGCAATGGTTGTTGGTTGATATCTTAATCTGACGTCCTCAAAGTACTCAGCATCTTACTTGTGTTTCTCACATTTTTTTTAAAGTCTAGGTGATTGGCACACAATGTTTGTTGTAGTTGTTCAATTGATTTTCCCTGTCTGTCAGTTATTATAGTTATTTATCACGAGTGTTATGTGCACATCAATATAGCAATTAATATTGATTTTCTGGTAATGTGCAGGAGATGAGATATACGTGGAAAGAAAATCTTTAATGGTACATTCCTGCCTACAATCTTTTAGATATTGTTGCATCATCATCCATACATTTTGCTCTAACTTGTAGTACAATCGTCTTGATGTTTGTGATGATGCATAGGTTGTCGCAATAACAATTATTTTTCTAGCTCTCTGTTGCCTTTTATGCATTTTTTGCTCCGTTTCTTGGGAAGAACGTGTATGAATACGTGGCCGTTGGTGTTTATTCCTTCTTGGTAAGCATAATAGAAGTCTTTTATAGTAATCCTTGTATGGAGATCGCACCACCATCTTTTGCTCACCTTATTTATTTTTTATTTTCTGTGTTTACTTCAGGCACTCAGTGTATTTGTGCTTTATGTTAGATGCAGAGCTATTGATCCCGCTGATCCTGGAATTTTGACTGAAGCTGCCGAAACACCAGCTTATGGATTGCAAAATGACACAGATTTGCGTGGTTAGTAAGTTAGCAGCATTGTCATGGTTTAGTTAGAGAAAATATAATCCTACTGATTGAATCCACCAACTGAATAAGCTCAGTGGAGATTCAACCAGTTATCAATGTGATTTGATTGGTAACACCAATGAATGTTCCATATAGATTTTTTACCACAAATATTGAGCTGATTGTCCTGAAAAATTGATTATAAATGGGTAGTTATGATTACAATGGATTTCTTTTCCTCTCTGCAAGTTCCTATTGATAAATCCACCAATCAGCAATTTTCCCTTTGTTGGGGAAAAGGGCAGTGTAAGATGACGTTTTGATGCATCAGGACTTTGTTCTTATGATTGTCATTGAAGAGCTTCCTGGTGTGTGCTTAGGAATTGCATCTTCTCGTGAAGAACCTAGCAAAGCCGGATTGGAGAATGGAGGAAAATCTGATAGGTGTGGTTCAAGTGGTTGTTCAAAAATTGTGGGACTCGTTTGTGGTTTTTCTGCGTGGGAAGATTGTCGGAAAGATGAAGATCTTTTTGCTCAACAAACTGGAGAAGAAGATGCTTTGTTCTGCACATTGTGCAATGCTGAGGTAAAATTTACTGAAAAAGGTTTTGAATCTTATGTCGTATATGTTATTGGTTAAAGGTAGTTAAGAGATTTTAAATCTTATTGTAATGGTTTTATTTTCAAGATTCAAAAATCCAAGTGATTGTCTGCTGCAAAACTCAATTGGGAGGACACCATCAAATGCCGCTAACACAACCCCTGACCTATCCTCTCCAGCCCAGACCCACGGGCCGCCAGAAGAATAAATGTATAAAAGATCAAGAATATATTAAACACCTGCTTTGAATTACTCTTGATTATCTCGATGTTTACATGCTTTTACCTGGGACATGAGCTTGTTGCTCATGATATATGATGCATGAGGGAAAGGGAAGAGAGTTAGAGGTAGTGGGAACTGCATGTGGACTGGATCTCAAGCTCCATTTAAACTTTACCTTAACTCCCAAGAAATAATTGCTATCCAATATAATTTTATCACACTTGGAAAAGCGTCACTTGAACCTTTAACTTGTTAAGATATATGCTGAAGCTTTGGATGCTGTGCTTCCCACTTTAGGAAGGTGGGAACCCACCTTAACAAGGACCGATTTGGTGTTGTATACAGCTCATGACTATTTTTGCTTTGATTTCCTTCCTTTTTTTTTGAGTATAGAACTCTTCCTCTTCTTGAACCAGAGTTAACCCTTGGTTTTGTTTCTTTAAATTTCTGATTTTTAGTTAAGTTCAGTTCCTATTGTTTGGGAAAGAACCAAACAAAAGAAAATGAAGAATTTCTTATTATATATTCTGTTGCATCATGTTTCGTATGCCCTTGCTGTCTTTCCTCGTCTTTGCCTCCCCATTTTTTTTTTGCTTGTTCTCCCAGTGAGTATATGCTCTTGGTCAAAACCTCGAATTAATGAGTATGATCTCAATGCATAACAAACCAAGAATTTGAGGAGAATAATTCCGTAAATATTTTTTGTGGTTTCGTAGGTGCGCAAGTTCGGCAAACATTGCAAAAGCTGTGACAAATGTGTTGATGGGTTTGATCATCACTATAGGGTGAGTTTAATGCTCAATTTCTGGTCAACTCTCCTGCTTATGATGTTAAGATGCTCAAGTTGTTGGTTTATGTGTAGTGAATGTGATGCAGTCCATAAGATGCTCAAGGAAATGAAAATTAAAAGATACAACAAATTTTATAAAATTGGTGGTATCAAGATTGTGACTCACTTGTGGCCTTGCATAATTTACTGTTAATTTTTTTCCCTGAGTCATATTTTATGGTTTATTTGTGTTTTATTCTGGTAGCCGAGTTTTATAAATGTTTGAGATTTTTTAAGGGTCGAGCATTTCTGAATTTCACATTAGAGTAGTCAGATTTTTGAGTTTACTCATTCATAATAGAGATTTGTTTTAGAGCGCCTTTGGAACTTTTGAAGCCTCATCGTGTTTGTCCGATGCAAACCCTTACCCCATGTGTGATGCCTAAGGCATTCTTGGAGTGTTTCCTGGTTTTCTTTGTCTTCTTCTTTTCTTCCCAATATTCCGCATATAAACCCCTCCAACCAGACATACCTATCTAGGCTCTATTTCGAGCTAAGAAACTCTAATTAAGAAATCCAAATCTCTTTATCAACATTTCTATAAGTTCATCCCTTCTAAACCCTAAAATCTAGGTCTTCCTGGTCACTCATAACTAAACAGTCTCAATTTTGTCACCAACATTCTTTTCGTAACACCAGACCTTTATTAACGGAAACCTATTATTCATGGTTGATTTCTTATACTTAATATGTTTAGTCTTGCATCAGAATGTGATTAGATGAACAAACCATTATCATGTTCAAAAAGATCTGGGGATTTTTTTGAAGAAATGGGTAGCTTAGATGATTACTATCTTGGATTGTTTTTTGCACTTAACTGAGAGATCTTCCCGATATGAGTAGTTTTGTTGCTGTCCTATTCATCATGTCCTGCTATCCTTTTTTGTTGTTTGCCATCATTCTTTGTAATCTTAAGAGGATTGCTTTTCTTTATGTCTAATATGGCATGATAAACTGTTGTGCAGTGGTTGAATAATTTTGTTGGGAGGAAAAATTACATCACATTTGTGTGCCTTATGGCTGTAAGCCTTGGCTGGGTAAGCTCTAAAGCAGATGTTTGTTTGGAATTTGTTTTAACATTTCTATTAGCTTTCATTTTCCTTCCCTTAAACCCAACTAAATAAGTTTTGTGGATCTCTATTTGCATGTGCATTTGTGTGCCAGCTTGTTTTTGAATTTGGAGTGGGCATTTCTGTTCTTGTTCGTTGCTTCACTGATAGGAAGGCAACAGAAAATCAGATAACTGACAGGCTTGGAGAAGGATTCTCACGACCCCCATTTGCTACTGTAGTGGTATATATCCTTCTCTGCTTATTGTGTATCTTATATATTTAAGAAAATGTTGCATTTTCTTTTATTAGAGACTGGATATCTGACCTTTTGTTTTATTTGCTCATCTTGCGCAGCTCTTACTTTTCTACTGCATCTAACCAAGCAATGCACTGGCGCATCATCCACTTCTATTAATGATAGCTGGGCCACTAATTTTTCAACACCACTGTTACCTATCACATTGAAATCAATCCTCCTGCAAGGATTTTTTTTTAATAAGATGCAGAGCAATTGCAGAAACCCTACCCTATTAGGATTTTGTGAGTTTAGTGTTCCTTAAGTTGGGTGGTTTATTGAAAAAGTTTAATAAAAAATTCAATAGGTATTATAAAAACGATGTCATTTTAGTTTAGTGGTAAGTTTCCGCGTGTCACCTGGTCCTCCCGGGTTCGGTCCCCGGCAACGGCGATTATTATTTTTAGGTATTTCTATGATTTTATTTTTAGGCGCATTTCGACTCTTATTTATCGGTTCCATTTGGAGGGTGCACATGGCAATCAGCACAGCAGCACCAACGGCAGTGGATAGAGACTTCTCATAAAGATGGCGGCTTTTTCATAATCTTTTGGTTTTTTGGGCTCCAATGGCCATGGCTTCACTACAGAGCTTTGCGAGATTCAGCGTTGATAATATTCTACATTGTTGTTCAAAACCCACCTTCAAAAATCAAACACAGCAGCATATAAAGCAGCAAGTCATTTTACCAAGACCACCCATATCGAGAAGGTGTGCAATTCTCATCTTTGTGCTTCCTTTGGGCTTCGTTTCACTACCCCTGCCATCATTGGCCAGAGAGAGGCGCAACAAAATGGCCATCCCTCTTGACGACTACCTCACGAGCTGTTACTCACTCTTTACTTTATACTTGCTCTTGTTTAACTGTGCTTTGTTGGGCTTTATTTTTTTCATCATTGTCATTATCTGTTCATGTTCTTGGGGTGATGTCTCTTGGATTTCTTCAATTTCTTGTTTTTTTCTGATAAACGTTTGTTAATGCAAAGGGAACCCACCTTACATCTACCATTGGATTTCTCATATGTTCATATGTTAGGAATTTACGAGCAATGTGCAATGAATTCAAGAATTTTACGCAATTGCTTGCTATCACTTTCAAACAATTACAACCGCATAGGAGTGATCCTGCTTTGAAATTTCTTGCTCACGAGAACTATTATGTCTAGATTGAAACCCTAATTCGTTTCCTTGGAACTATATTGCTGAAGAGAGAGAGAGCTTACTTTGAGTGAGTAAACGCATGTAACACCCACGATAGGTGTAGTAGTCCAAACCCGCACACCAAAAGAACCTGCCTTATTGGGAGAATGATGGACAACATATGTTGGTCTCTTTTGAACAGGGTGAATTCAGACACTCGAACACCCATGCTGGGGTGCATGACAGAGCTAAGCACTGTAAGCATCCTCGGGTGCCAAATCCTGGTGGAGTATCAAATTTTCCTTCCCTGAGGATGAAACTGTCATGGAACCTAGGAACTGCAGTTAAACCTCCAATATGTTTATTGCAAATATCTCTAGTTGTTCAATTCTAGAAGTTATAGGGTTGGTAAGTCATGAAATCAATTGCTTTTGGGGTTTTAATAAAACCAGTTGTGCTATACCCGATAGACTATTTGAATATTCTTAAGGTATCTAGACACGCTCGCCAGCCAAAAAAAGGGGAAATTATCATAATAACAGCTACCTTGGCTGTTGGAAATACGTTGATAGGTGGGTAAGGAGGAGTGCATGATGCCAAGTGCTTCAAAAGAGATGCATTTTACTAAACCAACTCCCTCTCATGTGATTGATACCCTCTTTATGATGCATGCAGACTCTTAGTAGTTTGACTACGTATGCTCTGAGCTGACATGCTTAACCTGATTCTAAGTGAATAGATGTGCAATTTGACAGAGATTTTTTGAATGTGCTATCGCTTACAACTATGATTATCTATTCAATCTATTTACTTCATCAACAATTGTTAGAAAAAAAAGAACTTAGAAGCATCTTCACCGAAGAAATCTTTACAAAAACAACTTGAATTGTCTATTAATGAGCTTGCTAAGTAAAGATTTTGTTGCATATGACCCGTAATTAAGTGAAAATATTGTGCTTCAGCATCTCGATTGAGCGTATAGCTCCATCAATATTTGGAAAGTTTTTTCCTAGCATTTTACAAAATGCTGGTGCCCACTTTGTCCTTGGGGAGTCACTTCTACAGTGATTTTGCAAAAATTGCATATGGTTGATACACATGCAGAGTTTTTATCAGGTGAAATTGACTAGATAGAAGAGTACTGTGCATTATTCCATTTGCAATTAATTCTAACTACTTGATTCCCAAGCCAAAGTTATGAACATTGTCAAACAGTGTTAAGAGACGTCTCCACTCTTCTTTGCTCATTATCCTTTACGAATTGGTCTTGTTTTCCTAGTAGCTGATGGACTGAAATACTATGATGTTGTTGAGGGAAATGGCCCTGTAGCTGAAAAAGGATCAACAGTGCGGGTTTGATGGTGCCATGTAATCTAGTGATTGTGTGTTTTCATGCATTGATTTTGCTACTTACAGCTTTCTATGGCGTCTATCATTATAGGTGCATTTCGACTGCTTATATCGTGGTATTACAGCGGTGTCAAGTCGAGAATCTAAACTCTTGGCTGGAAATTGCATCATTGCACAGGTGTTTACTCTCTATTGATCTCTTAGCATAACTATAAACACTGGATCAATGTGTTGAATTCTGGATATATGTATAATTAAATGGTACATGATTCATTGTGTTCCAAGTAGCCTTATGAGTTCCAGGTTGGAGCTCCCCCTGGAAAAGAACGAAAGCGTGAATTTGTGGACAATCCAAATGGTCTGTTCTCTGCACAAGCTGCACCAAAGCCCCAACGGCCATGTACACAATGACCGAAGGGATGAAAGTAGGGGGGAAGGTAGAATATCCTCCTTTATTGTCTCTGCATGCTCATACTGCATGACTTCATTTATTTTTTTTTCTGTGCATTATGTATTTTTTAATACATTTTTATGTCAACTCCCTGTTTATCAGCTCACCTTTAATCTTTCTTCTTGTTGTACAGAGAACTGTGCTTGTTCCTCCAGAAGCAGGATACGGCAAAAAAGGGATGAATGAGATACCGGTAAGCTGTTAACAATGGTCATACCAGTATATTTTAAAAGTTACCACATAATATATTTATTTTGTTTAACAGTTTATTAGTATCTTGAGCTGTGTTTGGTCATCCAATGGACATGGAATTTGTCCATTTTGGTTCATACACTAATGTTAAGGATAAGGAATCAATGCAATGGGATAGAACATGCTTATCCCTCAAAATAAACAAAAATTAGTATTGTAAGTTGATGCCATAATGTCTTGCTGGCTACATATCAACTTGTTTTAGAATTTTTTTCCCTTTAATAATTCTGGAGAATGCATATTTAACTTTGAACTCAAAGTAGAGAAAATGTAGCCATTTGAAGTTCAAAACTCACCCCCTCTTGAACATGTGGGTGAAAATTGGTATATTTTTGGGTTCTCACCTCATATATTAATTTATGAAGTCTCATATATTACCCCTCTGGTTTTCTGACGCTGGAACATTTGTCGAAATCATCAATGTATGTGGATTTGAAGAGATCGAGCCAAAGCAGACTGGAACATAGTGTTTCTAGGCTTAGTTGTGCCATATTTCAATGCAGGTATGCTTTGTAAATAGTTGCAATTGTTTTCTAGATCATCTGATGTGCTTCTTTGGAAGTGTTGATTAGCATTAGTGAGGTACTGAATTTAACGTAAAAGTGAATTTTCTTGAATGCGTCTGACAAATCTCTCTCTCTCTCTCCTTGATCCTTATCAGTTAACCTCAAGTGTCTCTGCCAGCACTTGTGGTGTACCACATTTTGCCCTTGATGTTGCTGATCAAATAATGTCCAGTAGGATTTTTGTGCTGTGTATTTGTTCATTGTTGGATTATGGGTTACAGATTAGAAAAAGGTTCTACATGTTCAACATGGATTTGAATGTAGCAGAAGTTTAGCAAAATGTACAGAGGGATGGGTGGCATATAACCTTGAACACCAAAAGCAGGGGACCTTGAGTGATTCAAATGTCAATTTAGATGCTACAATAAACTTCAAACGCTAAAAATATTTGATATGTAAATTTGATATGCTAAAAATATTTGCATCTAATTTTTCAAACGCTGATTAATTACTGGAATCAGACAGCATAATCAAATCTCTTGGATAAGGAATCAGTCTGATAGTATACTGTTACAGTTCAAACAACTTGGGCACCATTAAGATTATGTGTGGCACTTTATTTGTTTTGAGCACATGGCATCAATCAAGTTCAGGGTTCTTGATTAGATCGAGTGAAAATAGTTTCCAAACCAACAAAGATTTAAGAAAAATTGAATAGCAAAAGCTCAGTGATCCTAGCTGTAATACCCTGTAATCTGAGCTGAAGCATTCTATTGCATAAGCTTCAAGGTTGAACTCTAGAAACCTAATCTAAGGCAGGATTGGTTGGTTTGGTTTGAACTCAAGACTTTTAGGTTTTGATACTATTTCAACCACTAGATAAGTATAAATCATCAACTCCTCTAAAAGCTTAAGTTTTTAGATAGGACATTTGTATTTTTGTAATAATTGCACATTTTTGTTATCATCCAAGAGTATAAATACATACTTCTTTTTTTGAGTCGTAGTAATAATGTTAAAGGAGAGAATGCAGTCTGATCTTATTTTGACCAAAAGGATAGGCATGCCAACCTGCGAGCGTGCAAGCAAATTGATCATGCAGATGAAAAGTTTGACAAATCTATGACCAAGAATCTCAGCATGCTCAGAGAAGCAAAGAATGTGTACTATGTTGAACAAGACTACTTCTAGAGGAGAACAGTGAAAGTGGGAAAAATCTGTTGTGATCTTATGCTCAAATACCAATCAACCTAGATTCATTTCCAGGTAACATGCACCAACAAAGTTTGTTTGCTCATGAAACCACTTGCAAGAGGAGATAAAAAGATAATAAAGAAGAAACAGTGTCAGGTGATGTGCGATAGTTATCTGAAATATGTTGAGCTTTATTTGATTCCTTGAAACTTCAAACTAAGGGAAATTAGGTACTTCTAACCGTATTTGAGAAGCTTTTAATTTAGATGGATGCAAATGAGCTTGGGGTCCAAATTGTCTGGTAATTGGTCTTTTTACACACCAAGCACTGCATGATTTTGTTTTATAATTCTGCCCCCTTATGACCCAGTCAATTGCCAACTCTGATGTAAAGTTGCAGCATTTGTCTTTTACTTTCTGAATTTTTGATTTAAGACCATTATTGTGATTCTATGTCAGCATAATTGATAATGATTTTGAATATAGACCATTCAGAACACAGGGGGTGGCTAAGTAATGATGGAGAGAGAGAGAGATCTTGACTGATTTATCTGTCATTTGCATGCTTTTTGTGTCAAACAGCCAGGAAAAGATAGACCTTGAGTCAGAGGAATACTATATCTAATTGTTTGCAATTGTATAGCAAGTAACATAGAGAAGAAAGTTGGTCCGTTCTACAAGATTCCTCCTGAACCAGATTCCAGTACGAATTCAAAAGCAAGTATTCAAATTTATGTGTTTCTTTAGAACACAATCCATCATAAGCTTCCCAAAAAGAATAGCTGATGTATAACAAATGATGTACCAGAACTACAATTAAAAGGAGTTGTACTGAACTATTAATCTTACTGAGAGTAATGTTAACTTTGTTAATTGATATGGTCCAATAGTATCTACTTTTGTAAGCGTTGCAACTTTTTTATTGGGGTCATGTTTGTAGACACATCATCAGGTCACGGTATTATTGTTTCGTTGAATATATGCAGTGAGTCGAGGAAGGGTAGGCTGTGTCTACTAATGTTTTAGTACAAAGCTATATAAAGAATCTAATCAACACACACACACACAGTTGAAACAAATCTGCTCAAATTGCTATATTTTTTTTTTTCTGACAAATAAATAACATGAAGAAAACAGGGGTGAGTGTGTGTTTAAAAGCCTAGCCAACTTATTCCCACTTCATGGAGAATTGATTCAGCAAAAAGAAAGCTACATGAAGACCTTTATGAAAGCTTTCTCAGGGATTTAACCTCTAGGGATAGCTTCATAGTAAACATGTTACTTACAAAATTTCCATTATTTTGTTTTCATGAGTCAAAATTTTGATTTGAAGCAAAACAGGATAATAGGAATTTTCCAATATGATTAAGAGTGGTCTGCATAAAAAAGGTTGCCAAGTATATCCGACTCTCGTGATTGCAAGGTTTGAGAAGAATAGCTTGCATGAGCTTTATTTGTTTTTGTGCAATGACGCATTGTCTTATCCAACGGACTGGATTTAGTTGTGTTGTGTAATACTTAGATTATGTTATATACAAAATGTGTTATTGTTATATCGTCTCCAGTTTGCGTCACCAAGAGAAATTGACATACCTATTCAAAATAATTTTCTTGGGTTATAGACAAGTTCACTAGTATTCCTAATATATTTATGCCTGGCCATCTAAAATAACTAAATCACTTGATGACATTATGTAACCAGTTACTTCTCTATGTTCTTCATTAACAAAAAGGCTAGGTAAAGTACCTAAATGGCTTTCTATATTAGCCGAATTTCATCAAAGGAAAAGATTGTCTTTTGTTCAGATAAGGGAATGCTATGACAACCTAATAACTCTTACGACCCAAGGGGTTTGGCTCAACAGCATGTGGTCCACCTTAATTACAAGGGGACTGGTCACATCAGCAAATCTTGTTAATCTCTTGGGTTATCCTTTTGAGATTTATTTTGGAGAAAAATTATTAATTATGTGTCCAAAAGAATTAGACGAGTACCATAACAAGCTTAAATATCTCAACAAACAAATAAGTTAGTTGAAACACCGAACAAATCATTATTGAAAAGATAGTCACAATTGATTTAGTTATTAATTCAGCTCTCTAGAACTATTTGGTATGATGAACTAATGAAGTTATTGTAATTATAGCTATCGGATTTTTTTTTTGTCTAGGACATTATCAGCAGACACATAATTAACTCAGAACAATTAGGTTTCAATAATATTACTAATTTGGTATACAACAAGGAAATCTATCAGCTATTTATGGTGTATGTGCCAAATAGGGGTGTTAATCGAGTCAAATTTTATGAGTTTGAGTCGGAGTTTATCAAACTCGTTGTTTTAAACGAGTCTAAAAATTTGTTCAAGTTTGGTTTGTTTAGAATCTTAACCGAGTCCAAGTAACTCGATTATCTATACTAATAAGATAAAGACAATTTTAAACTTTTCAAATTGAAATCATCTCCCCCAATTTAGAAAAGCAGAAGAACGGTTAGGATTTGATTGAAGTTCAAATATACGGTTCAGATCTCATATAAATTCATCTAATTAAATCTAATGGCTAACAATCCATCCCGCCCATTATACCTACACACACACGCTACCCAATTCAAAGCCTCTCTCTTTCTCTCTCACTCGCTCGCTCGCTTCTCTACCATGGAAGACGCCTACCCAGGTACGCCTCTCTCTCTCTCTCGCTTGCTTCTTGACCATGGAAGACGCCTGCCCAAGTACGATAATTTGAGCAAAAAAGGTTGATTTGGAAATTTGGGTGTTTGATACTTTAACTGTGAATCCGGTACGGTGATTTGTCTTCTTTATTTGATTAATATAACATGGTGTTTGCTCTCTCTATGTTTTTTGCTCCAATTGTGCTTTGTTGTGTTCCATGAATTTTCAAATTTCATTGCAATAGATCATTCAATTTTTATTGGATGTTTAAAAACTTAATTTCTATAACTGTCTGTTTGTTCTCATTACTCTTATCGCATATTGTAGTGGAGTTTA